GTTCAGATGCCTATGCCTACAGCTGTGTTTAAATCAATTTAGTTCAAGTACTGTATTTCTCAAAATAATTCCAAGAACACCGCAATGCATGCATGTTTGCAGCTGTCATTATCTGGTTATTTGGAAACCAGGTAACTCCAGGTCATTTCTGCTGCCTCTGCTTACGTGGGAGATTGCGCAATGGAGAGAATTCAAAGAATAAAAGCAATACACACTGAAAGTGAGAAGTTTCTTTATAAGTGCAGCCAATTAAGAGTGGAGCCAAAGTCAACGGCTCCTTGAGCTGGATACAAAAGAGGTCTGGGTGCTGGTGATCAAGTGTCTTCTATCAGCTCATATTTCAGGGGTATCAACAGTTATGTGAAATTAATAAAGTGATAGGTATTACCTAAGCACTGAGGTCTGTATGAAGATATAAACTTTAAAGTGTCACACTACATGGCAGTGGCTTTTAAGTAAACAAATACAAATCATTCAATAGGTAAAGGACTGTCTACTAGGTCTGGCTGCAGAGATCAGAGCTCAGTCTGGTAACAGAAGGTTTTAATTAACAGATCACCAGGCAGACAAAGACAATAAGTACAGACAAAAAAAAAAAAAAAAAAAAAAAAAAAAATCCATGGGTCCCTCACAAGTAGCACACGCCTGTAACCATAAGAACATCACAGTAGCACATTCCTGTAACAATGGGAACATTACAAGTACCACATGCCTGTGACCATGGGAACACCACAAGTAGCATGTTTATATCCATGGGAACCTCACAGTAGCACATGCCTGTAACCATAGGAACCTCACAAGTAGCACATGCCTGTAACCATGGGAACATCACAGTAGTACATGCATGTATCCATGGGAACCTCACAGTAGCACATACCTGTATCCATGGGAACCTCACAAATAGCACATGCCTATATCCATGGGAACCTCACAAATAGCACATGCTTGTAACCATAGGAACATCACAGTAGCACATGCCTGTAACCATGGGAACATCACAGTAGCACATGCCTGTAACCATGGGAACCTCACAGTAGCACATACCTGTATCCATGGGAACCTCACAAATAGCACATGCTTGTAACCATAGGAACCTCACAGTAGCACATGCCTATAGTCTTGAAGGGGACTGTGCTGCACAGACCACTTCCTTCTGTCCTTAGTGTATCCCAGGCCAGAGTTACTGTCAGACACAAATGCCCTTTCAGTTCAGGTTGCTGGCAGGATCTTCCTTATTGTTTCATTTCTCTCATAGCTCACACCGAATGGGTTGCTGTTTAGTTGCTCATGAAGTCATTTGCTGGGTGTTTCTACTAGGGTGGGATTGTTGGGTACTGTGGTGGTCTGAAAGGAAATGGCCCCCAAAGGGAGCGGCACTATTAGGAGGCGTGGCCTCGTTGGAGGAAGTGTCGTTGTGGGGACAGGCTTTGAGGTCTTTTTCTAAAGTTTCACTCAATGTGCCAGTCCACTTCCTGTTGTCTGCAATGTGTAGCATGTTCAGCTCCAGGCCCGTGTCTGTCTGCACACAGCCACGCTCCCCTTCACGATCAGGATGGACTCAGCCTCTAAAACTGTAAGCGAGCCACCTCAATGAAAGGTTTTCTTTATAGAGGTCCTGGCGTCTCTTCACAGGGAAAGGGGACTATGGAGACAGGGGGTCCGGCTGAGGCACAACAAGAGGCTTCTCTGAGGAAACTATATTTATTGAGTAAGCTGAGGCCAGGACAAGCCATATAACAAAATGACAGTAACTATAACATGCCTGCAGAGAACCCTGATCTCAGTAAGCCCCCAGTAAGTGATAAATCCACATGTAAGACCCTCAGAATGAGGAGTCTCCCAGTTTTGGTCGGTATCCCCAAGAACTCAATGTCCAGTCCATTTGCTGCAACACGCAGGCTAGAGAGAAGCCCCCTCCCCTGGGCACAGGCGTTTTTAAAGGCAAACCCACAAGCTTAGGGAGGGGGTGGGACCTTCTGTCCATTGAGTACATGACCCTTTGAGGCTGGATGGTCTCGCTATTAGGGTCAACAGACCTTAGGGCCTCAGGGTGTGCTAATTAATCTTGTCTGGGCAAACCAGAGGTACAGTTATCTCTTTGTTTCTTAAGGACCCTAGTCACCACCTGCTGACTCACAAGAAGGGGGGGCAGTGTGAATTCTTGGTATCTTGTTATCTCAGGGCCTTGTGAGGGGAAGTTAGCAAATTCTAAGGAACAGATATTGGCTTGGGTTAGCTTTCCAGGTTAGTCTGTCCTTAACTTTACTTTTTTGTCTTTCACACACACCTCTAAGATATGCACTCCTCACTGAAAATGAATGGCATACATGCTTACTACTAAAGGATACAAGATCAGATTAGTTTGAGTTGCTCTACAGTATCTATATAGTTATGTGCACAATATTTCAAATACTACCATCTAATTATAATAGGTCTTGAAAGGGCATTCCTAGACTCAATATTATGCATTTTTATAAACACATGAAAACACTGTATTTGCATAAAACTTTATTATATAAATAAAAATAAATACCTCATGCCATGGAATGTTGAACTTAACATTGATTTGTATAAAACATGAACAATTCTTTAAGAATGACTTCTCTTACAACTTTCAATTTGAGTAGAAATCCCAGGTGACTGAAAGCAGGTCATCCATTTGCTCTCAATTATGCTCTCAATACGATGTGTAAGCCCTGTACTGTTTACCTGTGATGTTTACATTTGCTACCTTAATTAACACAGATTGTCAGAGACCACTGAAAAGGAGTTATTGTCGACCCTAAAATAAGAGTGGCAAAGTTAGCAAGGACATCAGACTTTGTCATTGAGGCAAACATCACAAATAAAATGAGGGAGATGTTAAACATGAAAACAACACCAAAGAACACTCCGTATAAGTGTCTGAAAGATACATTTCAACATACACTGTGTAGAGAAGGAAAGCACAAACCAAAGTCAGAGGCACAACATAAAAATGGCATTGAGTCGTCTTTGTGAATGCTCCAGTATTTAGATACACTGTAACCATGCCCAAGCCAACTCCAGGGGAGAAAGGAAGAAGACTATTTAAAACAAAGGCAGTTGCCACCCACCTTTAACCTCTTGGCCCCTTTTGTGTTGCTAATTCTGTGCAAGGTCTGTAAATCCACCCTCCTTAATTACTGAATTTCTTTGTCTTGCAACAAAAGGGAGTGTGGTGATACAATCAATGGTGACTCACTAGCTTGTTTTCTAGCTTGCTTTCTTGATGCCCCTCCTTTCAGGAGCTCCCTCTGAAATCAACTGCAGCATCAACTGCAGCACTGGAGGGAACTCTTAGGGTAGCTGCTGAGGCATAAAGTGATTGAGTCTCTCTGCTTCCTATGTAAACATTTGTCTGAAGGAAAGGAGGTCATCACGTCCACCCTGTCTAAAGAGCACGCTCCCCGGTGGCTATCTGCTGTAAGCCACACAGGCCATTGTTCCAGGCTATGTAAACACAGAGGTACACATACATGTATTCACATATGCATCTGGGCTTTTATAAGCTCTTTAATTGAAATTAGAGGACACAATATTTTACAGATTATACAAACTTTTTCAGCTTTTGGCAATTTTAACCAAATATGCATGTATTAACGTGGTTACAAACTGTCAAGGGGAAAACTGAACCCACCTTATTATAATACACTTTATGCCGATGTTTTCAGAAATGCACAGGGTCAAACAGCCAGGAGGCACCTGAATCTGTTTGTGTGGTAGAATAAAAACAGAAACACTGGCAGGAAACTCAGGCAACACTGCCTTAGCTCAGGCCCTCTCCGCCACTGAACAAGGGGCAATTAAGCCATATGAAAAGGGCTCAAGTTCAAAGTAACCCAGTCAACCAGTGAAATCAAAGAGCACATCAAGGATAATTTTAAAGCATAGTCAACGAGTTTCTATGAAAACATTCTTTGTAGGCAGATACTGCTAACTTTTTTTTTTTTTTTTAACCTCATAATCATTTAAAACGACTGTCCTCAGATACTGATCTGACTACTCACTGTGCCTCCTGGCTCTGTGACGATGCATTTAAAAAGTTACAGTAGAAATGGATCCTCTGTAAAGGCTATAATATCCACGAAAATACTTGTCATCATGGGGGCATTCAGTTGTTGTCCTAACACACTTCAGTCTTTTGGAAGTCTATTATACACAAAATGGCAGTCATTTTTTTTAAGCATTTGCATTTATAGGTTCTTAAACTGATAAGAAAGCTAAAAGAAAAATTCAAAATAATTTTTCAAGGCTTGGATATTTTTTTCGGTTTTTAAGACAGGTAATAATGCCCTTTTATTTACAACGATTAAAGTAGTATTAATCCATTTTGTGTGTGTGCTGGACACACACACACACACACACACACACACACACACACACACACACACAAAATGGAAGCCTGTGTATGTGCCTAGAGGCCTGAGGTCGACACCACAGGTTTTCCTTGTTGTTCTTGTTGAACCCGAAGCTTTTCCATTTAGTCTAGTTAGCCCTGTGCTACAGAGGTCCCCTTGGCCTGCCACATGCTGAGACTGGAGGCGGCCACCAGCCTGCTAGGCTTTCCGTGGGTCAGGCTTTCCGTGGATCTGGGCCAGTGGTCTTCACCTCTGCTGACTCCATCCCTCTAGCCTCTAGCCCTTATTTTGCACCATCTGAAAGGCAGTTTATCTTTTTTTTTTTTTTTTTTTTTTTAAGGTGTGTCACACTGTGTAGCCCAGGCTGGCCCCTAGGTCACAGATATCTTTCCTTAGGTCTGAAGTAGTGATGTCAGGCATGTGTGTCCACAGATGGCTTTGGTAATCTTTTTGAACTTCAGCTGTTATCCACATTGTGTTTAACAAAGAAAAAAGGAGCAGGGCTGGGCATGTATTGTGAGGGAAAAGATTCTGAAGTATATATATATATATACATATATATATATATATATATATGTGTGTGTGTGTGTGTGTGTGTGTGTGTGTGTGTGTGTGTGTGTGTGGTTGAGAAAAATTCTCCATAGAGATCTTGTAGTAACACTAGCAGTATTCAAAATCTTAGCTCACAGGTAACTCTGGCTTTTAATCCCAGTACTCAAGAGGCAGAGACAGGCAGATCTCTGTGAGTTTAAGGCCAGTATAGTCTACATAATGAGTGCCTGACCAGCCAGGAACAAACAGTGAGACCCTGTCTTAAGAAAACAGAACAAAACAAAACATAAATTCCAGCTCATTCCTTGCAATAACCAGAGACCTCTAGGTGCCCCACAGCACATCCTAGCCAACCAGGAGGGACAATTCCAGCTTTGGATTACATATAGCCTCAGTGTGGAGGCTAAGGCAATTTTGAGGACAATGGCAGAAGAGCCCAGGCTGCCTTATTCAGACTGTCAGCAGAACAGGCTAGTGCTGGAGAGTGGTCTGAAGGGAGTTAAGACTTGATAGAGAAAACCTAAACCACCAGAGTATCTAAGTGGCCATGAACAGTCTTTGGAATGCGATGCCACTAAGAGCCCTGCTGCTGAGGGCTCAGAGAGTGACGAAGCCACTGATGGAAAACTGAAGTTTGGCTGAGTTGCACAGTTATGTGCAAAGCAGAACTTGTACATGATAACCTTAAGACTAAGCTGGAATTTTCAGGTAAACTTTAGCCTGTTTTATTCTTCCTGGTTGTAGTATATGTTTCATAGAAAATAGAAACACCGTGTGAAAAGGTGATATATAAAAAGCCAGGGCTTAGTGAAATTTTCGGTCTGCCTAATCGACAAGCATTTAAGAAAGGTGTTTTTAAAATGACAATACTGACAGGAAAGCCCGATGTATAGAAACGAGAGTGTGGTGACACAACCCTTTTATAACACAAAGGACTGGGAATGGCTCAGTAGCTGGTGCTGGCCGTGCTGGGTGGGTAGCACAGCTGCCCACAATTCTAGCACAGAGAAGGTAGAGATAGGAAATCCCTGGAGCATGTTAGCCAGACTAGCTGTACCAGTGAGCTCCGGATTTAACTGAGACCCTACCTGAATGGATAGGGTGGGAAGAGATGGAGGAAGGATCCCAACATCTTCAGGCTTTTCCCAAACACACATCTAAACAGGCACACGAGCACACACACCACACATGTAACAAAATGGTTTACATATTCAGTCACAAAAAGGCTCTTGAAGAGATCATGGGTATGACACAGTTCTGTTTTCTCTGAGAAACTAAAAATTAGACATGGGATCATTTCTGTTGGTAGAAAGATGCTGGGAAGAGCTCCTGGTTTAATGGAGCCAATCTCCATGACACACAGGAGATCCTTGAGTTTCTTGACAGACTGTCGCTATTATAATATGAAAGGCACACAGCACAGTATGAGAGGAAGAAACAAGCTGTGTGGCTTCCGTGAAAGGAAGATAATGGAGACAGTCAAAACTCAAGGACTAAGTTACGAGAGCCACACATTAATGTTGGGCCTTAACGGTGATGGGATGTCTGGCTGGATTTGCATGCTCCTTGGTAATCAATATTTCCAGATTAATCTATAGCTGTCCTGACATTTACCTGTGAGCAGATGATTCATTTTTTTGTGTCACAGGCAGAGAGGAAATCTCCACTTAATTTAGATCATCTAAATGACATTTGGGATTTCTGAACCAATGAAAGGCAGATACGGTTTTGGACTGAGTTGGTGTGATACACTGAGATTTCTGAGCACCTCTGAAAGGAGGGCGTGAGTTTATTTGGGTGAATCTCTGAGAGAGTGTGGGCTGTGGGCAGCAACCACATCAATCTTCTCAGTCCCACGAAGGTGTAACTGAAATGGAAAAGAGCAACCCTGAAGGATGGTTAAGGTTACTATCAGTTAGCATTCAGAGATGATCATGTGCGCCCTCTATCATCTTACAGTCCTAGGAAGCTGAGAACACTAATTACAAGGCTCAGAGAGATGCAAGTGCTGGCTGTGAGATGAGGGAGGGATAGCACCGTGGGTAAGGAACACAGGTGGCCTCTGGGGGCTCAGCAGCCAGGGAATGATTCTTTAGAGTCTCTGTACAGTCCTAGCAACACCTTCATTCTAGCACACTAGATCCCAGTTTCATCCTGCACAATTTTAAGATAATAATTCTGTGCACATCAGTCTCAAGTTCTGTATTTTCTTATGTTAATAACAGAAAATCACATGGAAATGGTGACTAATGATGGAATGATGTCTGAGGGAGGATCACACTTTTCTGCTGTTCCTGATACTGTCTGCATCATTCAAGACATGCCTGGATAAGGAAAACACATGCATGTTGCTGGTAAATTTTGCTCCAGTCTCTCAAACTGAGTTCATACACTGAAGAATACATTCTGTTTTGCAATCTACAACGGTGTTTCTATGTATGTCTCCCCTCTTTTATGTCCCCTATTAAAATGTTGAATGAGCCAATGGAAGTGAACAAGGCAGGCTCTGCAAGGACAATAACTTCTTGATTTTAAAGTGCTATTTGTCACGACTTCTCAAGAGCTGATGACTTTTACATCTATTCAATTTAGTTTATGAGTTGTCATTTTATAAAATACAAGGCCAAAATATATTCTGTGACACTAACATAGTTCAAACAATATGTAAAAAGAATACACCAAAATCTTAATTATTATATGATCAAACAATTTCGAACTCCGAGCAGACACTCTGGTATATATATTACAGAAAAGTGATCCGTAGTGGCTACTGGTCATCACTGCATTAAAAAAACTTGAGTGCAAATTTTACCAAATACATTTATCAAAAGGGGTTCTTTCCATTTCATCTGAAAACGTAGTAAGTTGGTTGACCTAGATGTTTACAGCTATCAATATAAGCCAGCCGGGCAACTGAAAATTCAAACATCAAGAGCTGTCCATAGTCTAATTTTATCTAGACAAACACTGGAAGATAGAGCAACAGCAAAAACAGATTTATCTGAATAATAAAAAATAATTTGGTTGTTTTTACCCTAGAAGTATTTTTACTAATATGTACAGCATTACCTATTTCTACATGGGTTGCAGCAGTACTATTTTAGCTGTTGGAGTATCACGGTATTAAGAATATCTGCTTCTTGTAGGGTCACACTTTCATCTGTTAGCTCTTTACTCGGAAACGAAGTCACAAGAATAAAGTCTGTTGTTGCAAATTCAGGACGTGACTGTACTATAAAATCTCGGATATCCAGAACCCTAAGGGGATAAGTAAAAATAGTTTATTGTAACAAGGGCACATTTCCATGCAAACTTTTAGTGAAAATCATTCACACAATAAAAATTATATAATCGCAACTTTAGTTTAGAGGTGCTATAACTTTCTTTAAATTACATTATTTTGATGGGAAAGTTAATCAGATTTTGAAAGAAAGATAATAATTATTGCATAATAATTTATGCAATAAAAATCTTTAAGTGAATTATGTATAAAATAAGTATTAACAATATTGTTATATTAAAAGTATGTCTCATTGCTTTCAAAGTAAAACCTGTTGTCAGCCTAAGCCTCTAAGTCATTTGAGTGGACACTGGGTAGGATTAATCAATCACACACATGTGCGTGGGCACCCATATGTATAAAAGCTAGGTGTAGTAGTATGAGTCTGTAATTCCACCTGTTGGAAGGCTAAGTCAGGATTAATGACTTAAAGGCTAGCCTAGGCTACAGTCACACAGTAAAATCCTATCATTAAAAATAGTAACAAAAGGAGAATTTAAAAACTTACTCTTACATATACCTAGTAACTTAACTACGACCATATGTATGCACACAGGGTCTTATAACCAGTGGAAAATAAAAGCACTATTATGTGCAGGGAAAGTATTTATATTCAGTGAGTATCAAAAAGAATGAAACAGCCTATTAAAGATACTGTACCAACAATACAAACTACTTACACCATGTATTTACATTATGAAGTTGCTAAGCAGAAAGTTCTGATTAAAAAGTTCATAAAATTTGTTTGAGATAATGTCTTGTTATGTAGTTCAGATTTACTTCAAACTTGTACTTGCTTTGAGCTTCCAAATGATGGGATTATAGGTGTGTACTACCATCTTAGTTTACAATATATATATTGTTTGTTTGTTTTGTTTTGTTTTATTTTTTGAATCAGGGTTTCCCTGTGGCTTTGGAGGCTGTCCCAGAACTAGCTCTTGTAGACCAGGTCTCGAACTCACAGAGATCTGCCTGCCTCTGCCTCCTGAGTGCTGGGATTAAAGGCGTGCGCCACCACCACCCAGCTACAATGATCCATATTTTAACTGAGGAAGACTCAATAGGATCACACTATTCTGAATCTGAGTTTACTTGATATAGTGTTAGTTACAATGCATGCAAAACTATAGCTCATATTTTTGAGTTGTCTCAACTTGGACTAACTGGACAACTGACAATGATTATTAGCATCTATTTCATTTACTGTAGGTAGTTCCCATCCCTTTAAATATTCTTTTGTCATCTACTCCTTATGCTCTGTGCAGTTTCCTGTGGGTGAGCAGCAGGACAGGTGCACACAGAGCCCTGGCTGCTGGGCCAGCTTACCGGTGTGTGCTGTTGAATCGCTGAATCAGGCGACTGCCATCTGCCAGCCTGATCTGAACTTTGGTGGTGGGCACTGAATCATCAATAAGAACGGCTGCATTAAGTATTGATTTATCCTCTTCTTCTGGGGAAGAAGGCGTACTGACGATTTCAGGTGTAAGGCTAAGAAAGAAGAATTTCAGAATCAGAGCACAGACTGAGTACGTAGGACACAGGACACACAGAAGGTGCCAAGACTCAGCTCTTCAGTCAGCTGCGCCGTTATCCCTTGGAGGACTTCCCTAGCAGGACCATACTTCCTTCCGGTTTTCTCTACCGCTTTTGGCCTCTTTAATTATATTCAAAGTAGTGCGTGCCTATAATTCCTACTTATTAACCCCAGACCTCTCAGAAGCCTAGTTGCACATTTTCTCCAACTTCGTCTCTGAACTTTCTCACACTGTTTACCACATGGTTCAGGGAGAAATAAGAAACCAGAGACTTACTGTCAGCATGCCAAGAGTATAAAGAAAATAGACTCCAAATCCCAACTATGTCCTAACTGGATACACTTGCGGAAGAACACCCACCTAGTCTAATTCAGTAGGACTGTATTCCGTCATGCATTTATTATCCCAAGATGTCCCTCAGTATAATGCCGAGAACAAAGAACTCAAAAGTTACTTTTGCTTATATAATCAGAACCAAACTGTTACTTTAAAACATTGTCAATACTATCTAAAAAACAACTGACTTAAGTAGATACTGCTTGACTTTGAAGATACCCCATGGAAGGCCTCACCCTCTCTGGGGACTTGAAAGGGGATGGGATGGGATGGGGGTTGGGGGGTCAGGGGAGGAGGGGAGGAAGAGGGAACTGGGATTAACATGTAAAACAAGCTTGTTTTAAATTTAAATATATATATATGTATACATACATACATACATACATACATATATATATATATGACATTGCTTTGCAAAAGAGAAACAGCTTCAAGCCATTAGTGAGAAATGAAATTTTACACATTTGTCACATTTATTCATTTTTCACATAAATTCTCACTGAAGCTTACTAGACAAAACACCTTACCATTAGATCTTGATTACTAGTGACTTGATTGGTTTAATAGCATCTAATATCAGGATGATCGGACACAAACTAAACGTTATTGTGAAAAGAGCTCTTTCAAGAGTAAAACAAATTTAACCAAATTTCCTTAGCATCTTAAGGAGTTTTTACATCATTGTTTATTCCCCCATATACTAAGATTTCAGGACCTCATGTGTTACTTTATAAAGTGCCTGCTATGAGCATAAGGCAACGACTCTTACTTCCATCCAAACTTTCTCCCAAACTGCCATATGGCAAGATAGTAAAGTTAACCAATCTTTATAGAAAACACTTGCCTGCCTGCCTTTTCCTCACCTCTAGATTTAGAACAAATCTGAGAAAATAACATGGTAAAAATACACAGGAGAAAACATATTAAATGATTGATGCTGAAGGAAATTCTTCACGTTCCAAACTGTAGCCGGAAGCAGTTGCATTGTCAAGACTAGCACACGGGGGAGAGGGATGAAAACCCAGATAGGAGGTGAAAGACCCCAGAAGTTCTTCCCATCGGTACCCATGCACACACATGACCAACAGTGGCCCTGAGCCATCCATCCCCATTGGTCTGAGTCCTGCTCTGGTGGAAGAGAACTGGTCTGTTGTGCAGATTAACCCCAAGACACGAGGGCATTTCAAGTTTGGTTTCCTCACCACCTAAAGGAGGCTACTGAGAAACGAGAAAGCTGACTTGGCTCTGTCCCATGACACAGAGCTACAGCATAATGGTGTTCCATCGTCTAATATCTTCTCTCTAAGGAAAACTCTGAGGAGGCAGGCAAGCTTCTTCTGAAACAAGAATGAAGTATGGAGAGGAAGGGACCCTCAGTAGAAAGCGCCTGATGTGTTCCCTTGTAAGAAGCAAGTGTGTAAAAATGAGTTATTTACAAGCTGGAGTGGGTGGGACTCTCAGAACAGTTCTGGCAGCTGCACCAGGGAAAACTCTGAGTGAGAGGTGGACAGAACCCTGTCCCAGGACGGCTGGGGACTGGTGAGCGGGCACTGTGTTTTCTCTCTACACCCAGCGCTTACTGTCAAAGCCATCTTCTTTGCCATTTAAGCTTCCCCATTCTTCCTTCTTCTGAGGCAGTGTCTCACTCAGTGGCCAGGTTGAGCCTCACAATTGCTGGGACTACAGCAGTGCACAGCAACCCCCCCCTCCCCTCCCCCCCCCCCCCGGTCAACCATCACACTGCAGTGACCGTTTCTTAAAAAGATTATTTTTCTGTGTACCAGTTTTGCCTACATTTATGTATATGCACTACGAGCATGCCTTGTGCCTGTGGAGGTCAGAGAAGGCATCGTTTCCTTTGAATCTGGATTTAGACATGGCTGTGCTCTCCCCAAATGGGTACTGGGAACCAAACCAGGCCTACTGTAAGAGCAGCACCTACTTGTAACCACTGGCCCATCTCTGCAGCCCGCTACAGTAACATTTTCATATGCTGTTTTTATTTTAAGGTTCATTAAAACAATTTACACAAAGACTTTTAAAAAAAGCAGGAAGAAAGGATGTGAACTGAGATTCCCTCAGACTGCTGTAAGTTTACAGGACGATGACTCAGGAATGTCAAGGTAACATCATCATCGGCCAGAGAGTCTCTGAAGCCAAAGAAACTTGCTTGAGGTGATGCAGGAGCAGGAGGAGGGCTGAGGGGGAGGCAGGGAGCATCTGGGATCAGCCCTATGGGATCCAGGGGGCCCAGAACTGCCTGCTCTGCAGGGCTGACACTGGATGCAGTCCCCGCTGCATGGGGCAGAAGATCCGGTGGCTGTAGTGAGGTGCGCAGAACTAGCAGGAAAAGGAAGGCAGGCCAGAGGAGCTACTTGGCATTAGACAAGAGCTTTCCTGAGACGAGGGACCAGCTTGAAACTGACCTCAGATCCAGTGCCAGATGACCAAGTGGCGAGCAGAATCTCATCAATTAAACAGCACACAGACACAAAGAATTATCTATTCAAGTTGCGTCATTTATCATTATACAGTTCAAAACCCCTGGCAAATGTCACTGTCAGTCTGTCCTTCCTGCCAGCAAAAGACTGACATTGCCTAGATTTTTTTTTTTTTTTTTTGGTTTGGGCTCAACTCCAGCTCAACTCAGGATGTCCTACCATTTGAAATGGGCATCTGTCACCCATAACTCCCTTATTTCTATTTACTTGTACATCACAGGAAGACTTGGCTCACTTCTACCTGTACGCTGTTTGTAATTAGATACTGCCTACGGACAAAAACGGAATCTTTTTGTATTTGTACTTACATTAAGTAGTTGCCTGGAGCTCTTGGAAAATGAAAACTGTGAAGCTTCTATCTTAGTAGGTTTTAGTTTCAATTTATTTCCTTCCTTCCTTTTCTTCCTGTTTTGGTACCAGGGATCAAACCTTAATATAGTTCTTAATGTAAATATCTAATGTAAAACATAGCAAGCAATTCTTTAGAGAATATAATATTCGATTAAACATGAGTTTATGTGCACCGAGTCACATCACATTAACATGCCAGTGATAATTTTCTGTATATTAAAACTAACCAATTCCCTTTTCCATTCTGAGCCAAGGTCAAGCTCTTGTAGCCCGGGGCAGAAACAGTGTGAGTATATAGCCGAGACTGGATAGAAGGCTGAGGGTGACTGTGACAGCCTGTCCCTCCTGCCTTTACCTCCTTAGTGCTAGGAATACAGGTGTGGACCACCAGGCCAGGTTTGTAGTGCTGGACTGAACCTAAGCACTGCTTACACAACACAGAAAATCGCCAAAACCAACAGTGAAGCACACTGTTCCTCCCTACTGGATACATCCACTCAAGGTGTAAGGTAGTCTATCCAGTGCTTTCTCCAATCAGCAACACTTTAGACTTCCTGCTTTGAAGCTGTGTGATTGGAAGCAGAAATGAAAGGACACGCACACACAAAGAACAGAAAAACACACAGACTCAATACTGGGGAACAGAGGGGGCTGGTAGGACAGGGAGGACGGCAGTGTGCAGGGGGACACGCTCAAAGCACTATGCATCTAGACCTACATGCAAGTGCCCAGAACCAAACCAGAAAACATGGCCCAGTAGTGAAAAGCGCATGCGCCGGAGTGCTTGGGCTGGGTCTCACTCTAGTCATTCCCTAGCTCAATCACACCTTGGGTAAACGACTTATCCCCCTCCCACCAAATAACTTGTTTTTTAAATGGAATAATACGTATTCATATATTAAAAGACTGTGTTTTAAAAGATTTACTTTCAATTTTAATTATACGGGTATATGCCTATGCGCAGGCACCCATGGATGCTGGAGTTATGGGTAGTTGCAAGCTGCACAGGATAGGTAAGAGCAACGTGTATTTAAGGAGCTGCTATCTAATGAGTAAGGAGGACTGATCTCTGGGTACTTGCTACTAATATTATTATTATCCAAGTTGCATACCTAATTCCAGCAGGAAGGCCTTTATAGCTCATATTTCAGTTTTTACTTCACAAGTCTTTTTTATTTTTTATTTTCAAAAAAAAAAAATCTCATTTTGAGCAAAGAGAGAGTTTTTCTCAGTAAAGGAACTTTACCTTCCAAGTTTTTGCCCTTCTCCACTGAAAGCTTTGAATCGCAGTCTGGGTTTTACGTACTCTTGGTCTTGATGGTCTTCCATATCCAGACTCACTTGGCTGCCATGGACCAGGCGCTGAAGCTCAAGGGGAATCTCTCTTAAAAGGAGGGACAGAAGGTTTTAGTTAAGATCATTGAAAAGAACACCATCCCACCGAAGTGACCGTAATTAAATCATGAGCTACATGCTAACAAAAATTTCCATGGTGATTTTAGAGACCATGTAGTTCAAGGTACCTCACACTTTTCAAACTTCTATACTTTAAATGTAGGAGTGTCTATATGTCTATATGTAACACATCTGTGTACCATGTGCATGCCTGGTGCCCTTGGAGGATAAAGCCCAAGGGACTGGCGATACAGAGGTTGTAAAGCACCATGTGGATGTTGGTCCCCTGGGAAAGCAGCCAGTGCTGAGCCATCTCTTCTAGCCTGTCACACTGTTCTGTAGTGACTCTTACATTGAAATGTTTTGGTGGTCACATGACTTTGGGGTATACGTAGAAAGCCAAGTTATAAGGCAGCAATTGATACTTAAATTTGCACAAGAAAATTCCTATAAGGCTTCAAAGTTAATTCAAATATTTTTGTTCGTTTCTCTGAAATAGGGTCTCACTGTGGCCCAGGCTAGGCTGGAGTTCAGTATATAGGCCAGGCTAGTTGCAAACCCACAGCAATCCTCCTCTTTTAGAGCCTCAAGTATTGGGAGTCTGCACATATTTATTTCTCATGTCCCTGGGGAGCTGTGCAAACTGATGTTTTGGTGTTTCTGAGGATCAGGTGACTGGTGAGCATGGACAAATTTCAGTACGAGGGGCAGGGACTGTGTGACATGGCCACAGCAGAGTCATCTTTTTTTTTTTTTTTTTTTTAAAATTGTTTTAGGTCACAGAAGAACAGATGAGTGACTTGGCTGCCAGATGAACGGCTCCACCCCCTAGGTTCTGTTCCCAAAGACCCATGCCATAGCCCCTGCCCTCAAAGCTCATCACCTGACCCACTTCCAGGCCCTGTCCCAACCCCAGCAGACTTCTGCTGCTCAGGCATGGGCCACACCAGTCAGAAGGACAGAGTCACCAGAAGACCAGCCCCCAACTTTGACAGAGAGCCCCTACTAGATCAGAGGTCATGCCAGCCACAAGAACTCCAGGACACAAAGACCAGAAGACCAAAGAGGAAATGGAAGCCAGGGAACAAAATACCCATCCAAACAAGACATACTTAGAAATCAGCACTTAGAAATATATGGGCTGGAGGGTTAGCTCAGCCCTTAAAGGCTGGGCTCACAACCATAAATATAAGAAAGCAGCACCTAGACCTATAGTCATCCCAAACCCAGATGCTTAAATGCCAGTGTAAGAACACAATCAATAACAGACAGGGCTATATGGTACGACGCGAGCCCGCAATCCTATGACACTAAGATCTGAATGTTCCAACACAGCAGAAAAACAAAACAAAACAAACAAACAAACAAAAAGAAAACTTTATGAAGATGATAGAGATCCTTAAAGAGGAGAGAAAAAAAAAAAACCCCTCAAAGAAATAGAGGACAAGACAACAAAAACAAAAAAACAAACAGGTGAAGGAAACTATTCAAGACCTAAAAGTTGAAATGAAAGCAATAAAGAACACATAAACATCAGGAATTCTGGAAATGGAAAATCTGGGTAAGCAAACATAAACTAAAGACATAAGCATAACCAACAGAATTCAAGAGATGGAAGAGAGAATCTCAGGTATAGAGAATATGATAGAAGAAATAGGAACATCAGTCAAAGAAAATGTTGTATCTAAAAAGCTAACACCAAACATCCAGGAAATATAGGGCGTTGCGAAAAGACCAAACCTGAGAATAATAGGAATAGAAGAGAAGAATCCCAGCCTGAAAACCAGAAGATACATTTAACAAAATCACAGAAAAAATTTTCTTAACCCCCAAAAGTACTTATAAAAGTACAAGAAGCTTACAGAATACTAAACAGATTGGCCCGGAAAGAAAGTCCTCTTGCCATATAATAATCAAAGCACTAAACATACAGAATAAAGAAAGAGTATTAAAAGCTGCAAAGGAAAAAGGCCAAGTAACAAGGCAGATCTATCAGACTTAACATCTGATTTCTCAGTAGAGATTCTAAAATACAGAAAGGCCTGGAAAGATGCTTTGCAGACTCTAAGAGCTCACAGATGCTAACCCAGACTAGTATAGCCAGCAAAACTTTCAATCACCATAGATGGATAAACCAAGATATTTCATGAAAAAGTCAAAATTAAACATTATCTATCCACACAACCATCTCTACAGAAGGTACTAGAAGGAAAACTCCAACCCAAGTAGGTTAACAACAACCTCAAAAACACAGGCAATAAGTAATCTCATGCCAGCAAAACCCCAAAACAAGGAAACACACACACACACACACACACACACACACACACACACACACACACACCTACTACTACCACCACCAACAAAATAAGAATTAAAAATTATTAGTCATTAATATCTCTCAATATCAATGGACTCAGTTCCCCCCCCCCCCCAAAAAAAAGACACGAGATAACAGAATAAATACAAAAACAGGATCCATCCAGCAGCTGCATACAAGAAACACATCCCAAGCAGGCAGTAAAACCTGGCAGCTTTGGCCACAGGATTTTAGCTTTACAGTTGTAAAGGATACAGGAATACAGGCGTCAAAGAACTGCAGGTGAGGGTGGAGAGGAGAGAGAGAGAGAGAGAGAGAGAGAGAGAGAGAGAGAGAGAGAGAGAGAGAGAGAGAGCGCACAATGTTGGAAATATTCAAATTTGAATACTTCCCAGCTGGTAGAAGTTTTGGAAAGGGTCAGAATGTGTGGCTTTGGAGGAGGTATGCCACTCTATTCCCAGCTGACTCTCTGTCTCATGCCTATAGATCAGATTAAATTCTCAACTATAGCTTGAGCGCTATGGCTGCCTACAGCCATGTTTTCAGTCATGATCATGGACTCACCCTCTGAAACTGTATACCCCATTAAATGTTTTCAATTATAAATTGCCTTGGTCATGTTTTGTCATGGCATCTTGTCAACAGCAAAGCAGGACAGAGGCTTAATGGTTAGGTACATAGATGCTATTCAAGTTATTAATATATTTCTTCTAGAGCAAAGACCAGTGTCATCATATTTAAAAGGGGTACAATCATCCAATGTCCTTTCTCCTCAAAGACCTCCTCAAGTCACTTATGTAATATGTTACAGTAACTAATTCTGGAAAGCTAGTAGTGTGTACTGAACAGTTCAAAATAGAAATAGGGCCTGGGAGACAAGATACTTGGTCAAATAGTTGTCAGAGAGGCATGACAACTTGACCTCAAATCTCCAGGGAACCCATGTAACAAGGCTGGGTGTGGTGGTGTGTGCTGACATCTCGGCACTGAGGCAGAGGCCCCTGGGGCTCAGCGACCAGCCAGCCTGTACATATATGCAGTCACAGGAACATGCATTCACATATTCAAAATAGTTCCATTCAACATTAAAAAGAGAACACAAATAATTCATCTTACCCTCTCTTAACAGATTCCAAAAACTGCGCATTTGCTGGGTCATTGTAAGGTCTCAATTCTCCATCATCTAAGCTGAAACCATTGCTCCACAGCTTCAGCAATATCTGAACCTTTGGAGACAGGGGGAAAGGGGAAGAATTCATCTCCAAACAGTTTTAAGTTTCAATGTTATAGCTCTCAACTTACTACCTGATTAATTTATCTTAAAACACAGAGATACTTGTTTTCGTCAAAAAATAAACCAGTGTGTCCATGTGTTCCCTTAGCAGGTGTATTTTTAGCTTAGCCCATTGATAGTAGCGGGAAATATTAATGTTCCTCAGCAATCACTGAGGAAACGGCAGTGCGAAGACAGACTCCACTTGGTACCCGTGACTCACTCTGCTCATCCACACCTAAATCTCTTTAGCTCCACAGCTTAAACATTCACACCAGGGGCAAGGCAGACTGTCCAAGAAACGGTCAATATCTAAAATAAATGTACAATTTTAACATTTCCCAAAGCAACAGAAATGATTTCAAATGTTCTTATAATTTCATTCATATTGTATTATAAAAGAATATAATTTTCCAAAAAAAAAAAAAACAACCCGGAAGCACATGCCTTTATTCCCAGCATTCAGGAGGCAGAGGCAGTCTGCTCTACAGTGTGAGTGTCAGGGAGCCAGAGCTACACAGAGAAACCCTGTCCCAAAAAACAATTCTCTCTCTCTCCCTCTCTCCCTCCAATACAGCAATAGAAATACTGTGACTGGTATTTTAACTCATGCTTTAACAACTAATGAGTTAGACTGTATTCATAGTATCAACTGTTAATTCACAAAGGGGAAAAACAGTATCAACTAGAGGTGAATGCATAAACATTTTGGTGACTGTACCTACATCTTGCAGCTGATTTTCTCCATAGATATACTCTGACCGCTTACAGAACGAACTGCCCAATCTGTATCCTCCACCTGTAAATGACTGAAATACATGGTAAATGGGTTAAGAGTTCACTATGGCTTATAGTCAAAGTCTTATTCATATACTTGATATTTCAAAACTGGACGAAAAATTACTGGCCAGATTCACATTGACTAGGAAAATATATTAAGTTATAAACAAGTATATATGAGAAGTTAAATGTCTTTTCACATAAACATTAGTAACTCAAAATGTGAAATAACTTAGTTTGATCCCCAGAAGCCACATGGTAGGAGAGAACAGACTCGTGCAATCTGTCCTCTGACTGCCACATGTGGGTTGTGGATATGTGTGCACATGAGCACACACACAATAAATAATTGTTATGACAAAGAATTCTGTATTTTTTATCGGCTTTTACATTTTTTTAATTGAAACAGACATCACTGTCCTCTAGCCCCTCCCACAGCCCCACTCTCAGACTGGTAGCCTCTTTTGCATTATTGTTACATACATCCATGTATGTAAATACCTATCTCATACTGAATGTTTTTGGTGGTGGTGTGTATACGGTTTCAGGGCTGATCACTCTGATTTGGATAGCCAGTAAGAGGTTCATCTCCCTCTCCCAGCAGTCAGCAGTTGCCTGTAGTTCTCAGGGGTGTGACCACATGTAATTTTCGCCCTTCCATGTTAACATGTCCACTGAAACTTCCAGTCTTGTTTATGCATCCATTTCCAGGGCTGTTTCACAGTTGGCTTCCTGGTGTTCTGGTCCTTACAGACTTCTGCTCCCTCTTCCGAGATACTCCCTGAGCCACAGAAGCAGGAGCTGTGATGCTGATGTCTCTGCTGAGGCTTCCCTGTGACCTGTTGATGTCTGCACTGCGTCCGCTTGTGGTTTCCTGTGATGGCCTCCATTTTAAACTGTTTGCTTAGCTACAGTAAGTCAGTTATGGTCACAATTTTATCTTAACTACATCAAGTCAGCTACGATAATACTTTTGAGCTTGCTATTCTGAACACACAGTCTTCAGGTAGGATAATCTGAGGAGAAATGGCTATTCTTTTAATTACCATTTGTATCACAAATGTGCTTTAAATTACAAACTTCCTTTGTTCCACATACTAAGTCAATGCCATACTTTTCTTACAGAATTGGAGAGCGTGGGAATGTTAAATCGACCTCAAGGCTTGACAGAAGGAAGTTTTCCAGAAGCTGCCACATACTGAAACTGAAGTTTCACGGAGAACAGTCATTCTCAACAACAGGTGCCAAAAAGACTGCACATATTTTACCACGACACATGTCCAAGTACCTCTCAACTTCCCCGAAACAGTACAGTTTTAAGACGGCACTGACCTTAGGCTTGTCATCACTTGACGATCTTGCGGCGTCGTTTAGAGGGACGGCCCCGTGTTCCCTTGCCTCTTTGAAAAGTTCATTCACAATTTTCCCCGTTGGAGGTTGAACTACATGTAATCCACCATATTCCTGTTCACCTGAGTAAAGCCTTTAAACATCACAGCTCATAAATAAAAACTCAGAATAGTCATAAACTGCACCAAAATAAGAAGCTACAACATCATATGGAATAACTTTTATTCATAAGGAAGTACCCCCTGGTTCTTCAGACATATTTAACTTTAAAATGGAACTCAGGCAAAGGCACAGCAGGGGACAGTTTGTAACCCTTCTGAGTGTGTGGAGAGTCTGACAACTGGAGGCCTTTTTCCTCCCTCAACTCTGGGTGACTGCTTGTGGCTTCCTATTCCACAGACCAAGCCCTTCTCCTGTGGTGGGCAGCACTGCCGAGCACCAGAGGCTTTTCTTGTCCCGTGTGGCCACACAATGAAGGGTTATTCTTCGGGAGAAAGACCTATGACATTGCAATTGCCAGCGTGAATGGATAACTTCATGTATTCCTTATGTAGTAACTAGGATCTGCCCTGACTAACTCCATAACGCCTACGAAGCATACATTTCCATTCACCTAGGACTAATATTCTAATCTTTCATGACCAATTTTCCTGCCCAGGATATCAGAAAACGTAATCAATGAGGCGACACAGAGACTCCCAGTACGAGGTGACAAGGGTGTACTTCTTATTCTTTCACACCTTCTACTCCAGTTCCCAATTCACAGTAACTCACAAAGCAACAGTGGAAACCAACCGCAGCAGCCCTGCACAAGGAACACAGGTTCCCTTTAAGGGTTTCTCCTTAAACTGGCAAGTGAGGTAGAGGAACTGGCGGCTCTCATCCCCTGCAAGCGAAAGGAAGTCTACATGCACACAAGTGTGTACACAGCAGAGCCCCGCTACTGCTGTGGAGGGGCGCCACCCCATCAGCGTCACTGAGCAGATTACAACCCACAAAGCATTCTTCCCATGCTTGAGAGAGAGAGAGAAAGAGAGAGAGAGAGAGAGAGAGAGAGAGAGGGGACGGGGGACGGGGACGGGGACGTGTGCAGCAATCAGATCAGGGAAGAAACGGCCTGCCTGTCTCTGAGATAAGTGCAGTGTTGGAGAGGAGGAACTGGCTAGCAGATGGCCTCAGGAAACTGTGACAAACAGGACAGCAGAACCAAGCTTCCTGCCATGTTTGCCCCAGTATAGTCTCTTCCCTCCCCGACTCAGGTCCACAAGCTGGCAAAGTGCATGATCCTGCCTATCCGTCTTGGAGACAAAGACCTGAGAAAATTGGCCATAGGGGGGGAAAAATTACCAATGTGTTATGGCCTCCCCTAAGATCACGCAGCGCTTCTTGGAGCAGCCTCACTGTTTGGACTTTGATAGTCAGTCAATCCACCGGGAACTGACCACTGCATGTTGTTGCATAAGGGAGAAGCCGATCCTCATGTCTTCCCATGGGATTCCCTTTCCCCATTGCTCTGCAGTGGTTGGCATCTTTGTCAGAGCCAACAGCCCTCTGCAAGGGTGCAAGACTCAGTGCTCCAGTCTTGCTTCGCTGCAGCTCTGGTAAAAGGCATCACACAAGGCTTCTAGCCGTTCTTTGTGAGGCAGGACCAAGAGCATCTACAGCTCCCGCAGTAATATTTCCCACTTCCGCTTTCTCACTTCCCAGGGAACTTTGTTTTCCCCTGACCTTTCCCAAAGGCAACACTGTTTGTCCCTCTGTGCAGTGGGTTCCAACCATGCCTTTTTTGTTTTTTAACTAAGTTTCCTTTTTTCCCTTTTCCACAACCAGATGTTGATGCCCTTGCCTTTTGTTCTCGTCTTATATGAAACGCATCTGATCAGTATTTATCTACTCCCACCGCAACCTCTGAAATGACTTGAAGATGAGATTTCACCTCCTTTTAAAAACTTTTCTTCCATTCTCCCACCATGCAACTCAAGCACACCTCAAACTTACGGTTTTCCTACCTCAGTCATGCATGTGCTAGTATTATAAGCACACTCCATCATGCCTAACTTTCTCTTCCTTTGTTTGACTGGTAGGTTGGGGCAGGAGTGAGATGGTCTCATGTATAGGAGGCTGGCCTTGAACTCAACTATATAGCTGACACTGACGTTCAGCCTCAAATGGTCCTGCATTTATCTTCCCAGTGTTGGGTATATGGATACGTGACACCATGATGTCTGGCCCTAACGTAACTGACATTTTAAAAGTTTGTAGACCTTAAAAAATAAAGTACCTACTGAATAGTTCAGCATGAATGAAGCCCACTCAGCTCCATGCTGAATCCCTGTGGTCAGCAAGCACAACCCTCCCACAGGTCCTTTCCTACTAGTGCCCTGTGGTCCTTGTCATAAAGTTTCTATAGCCACGTTTTAGAAAGCACTAGAGCAAATCCACCCTCTCTCCTTCATTCTAGCGTAATCATTTAATTTTACTTCTTGCCACTTAGGTTATCCCCAGCTAGGTTGTGTCTGTCTTTTCTCCCATTGTTGTAACTTTCCATTTGTTTCCTAAAGGGATATATTTTTTCCTAAAATGATTCATAGTTAATATTACCAAAGGGCAAATATATTTCATTCAATTCTTATAACTAAATGATCCCCATTTTCCAGATGAGAAAACAGGCTAGGGGAGGTCAATCACACACACACACAAGCAAGCACGCACACACCCAGGGGGCGGGGAACGCAAGCACGCTGAGAGGCATCTACTTTTAGAGGCAGAGGTCTTGTCACCACAGCTCCTTCTCGCTGAATGAACTTTAATGCACACTAGCATTTCAGTGACTTTTAGACGAATGAAACATAATAATAGGGGCCAGCTGCAAAATGAACGTGTAAGTCCTCTCACTCAAAGTACACTAAGGAGACAAGCACTGGGCCCAGCAGAGGGCCTCCTAAGTGTAGAGACTTGTGATATGTCCATAAGGCTCCACCTGGCCGTGCTTACCCAGAATCTCTCTATCTGTAACGCTCTGCCCTGTCCTGCCCTTCCACACGTTTGCGTCCATGCCTCTTTGTCCCTGCCTTTGGGGTTTACTTAGACTTTAGCAACCGTTTAAGGCCTATGCTAGGCATATTGCACAGTTCATGTTATTTAATTCTCAGTACAGCGCTACATAAATAATGATCTCTAGAGGACATGCCGAAATCAGCTGCTGGTACACAACCTCTCATGAGTGAATCTGGCAATGAAGCTGTCGGACTGTCCTGAAAGGTTTTCTACAGATTACACACTTCTCATAGGTTAAACACATGAACAATATTATGTCTAATATTTTTGAAAATGAAAATTCGTTGGTGTTTTATTTAGCTCCTACAGACCACAAGCAAACTGGGGGAGGAAAGGGTTTATTACATTATACAGGGGTTATCCATTGCCGAGGGGAGTAATGGCAGGAACCTGGAGGTCAGAACTGAAGCAGGAGAAATGCTACTCACTAGCTTGCTCTCTGTGGTTTACTCAACACACTGTCTTATACACCCTAAGACCATCTGCCCAGGGGTGGCACCTCCCACATGGGCTGGATCACCCCCACGTAATTCATTAATCAATTAAATGCTCCCACAGACGTGCCTATAGGCCAGTCAGATGGAGGCAATCTCTCAACTGAGAGCCCTCTTCCAGGAGACTCCAGCTTATGTTACACATTGATACCCTGAAAGTCACAGGACAAAATGATTTCTAATACTGACCTAGGAGGAGGACATGATAATTAGCAGCTGCCTGTATAAGGTAAAAGTGGACACAGCGAACAGGGCAAACGTTCTCACTGAATGTAATGCAGGGCAGGATGAACTGTTGTAGGAAATGTTGAAATAGAATCATGTTAGAAAAGACTGCCAATGATCTTTGTATACACTGTATCTGAAGCGATTAAACAGTCTCAGTATCAGATGAATTTAAAGAACTCATCTTTTTGAATGGTAAACAATTCTTGAGGCCAAACTTGAGGCAAAAAGTCTTTATAATAACAATATTACTGGTTGGAGAGCTATAGCTCAGTAGTAGAAGCATATGGTTAATATATGTGGAATACTACTTTTAATCTATGACACTCCCAAACAAAACAAACAATGGAGCATTATCAAATTAAAACTACTAACAACAAAATTTTTCAGATGGCATAAGTGAATTAATCCACTGAAAAAAGTTCTAGGGACTGAACCCTCAGCTTTGCATATGGTAGGCAACTACCACTGAGCCACAAACTGGCTTGAACCTCCTTGGCAGCCTAGGAGGACTTTGAACTCCCGATCACAGAATTAACAAATGAAGCACAAGGAAAATATTTACATGCCAATCTCGAAAGAATTCAAATATTAGGTTTACTGCACTGAAAGCAACTAAGTCATTCTCATGAGCTCAAACTAGGGAGCCAAAGGCTGAACACTGCAATACTGAATGAGTAAAACTTAGGTATAGCAACACATGAAGTACTTCAAAAACTGTATTTTTGAGGGGATATATACATTAAGGGGGTAACTAAAATATTACACACATCTCTGTCTACTCATACATCTAGCAAGTGAGAATTAAGTGGAAGGATAGTATGGTCAAACCATGCCGAGATACCAACCTGCTATTACAAAGACACACTGTACCTGATAATGCAGTGATGTGGTGGTCAGCACCTTAACCAAGTGAGCATATCACCAAGAGTGGGGGACTTGGAATTCTATGGCTCCTGATGTGACATAATAAAAAGCAGACAGTGTCACTTATCTAGTACTCTTGACAAACATGTTTAACAAGAAGCTAATTATGAGGAAACTGTGATCTAGAATGTGGGATATTTTGAGACATCTGGTGTATACTTTTTTTAAAAAGTGAATGTAATAAACTTTAGATTATATGGGTGAGTTAAAAACAGATTAAAAACAAAAAAAAAAAAAAAAAAAAAAAAAAAGGAAGAGAGCATGCCCCGCAGTCAGAACTCAACACGGGAAAACTCAAATGCAATGAGTGGTCTCTAGCTGGGTCCCCAAGTCCCCAGAGGTGACTGGAAGAAGTGAGGCCATGGCACCACTGCTAATTTTTAAGTTATACTTTGTTACTTAGGTTATATACTTTATTCTTAGGGCGTGCACAATAAGATATCTAGAAGCCAGTGCCATGAGGGTATCATTTGCTTTCAGTCAGTTGACTGAAAAAGAGACAGCATGTGTGAGTAAGGACCATGCTATGACACATTAACAACTGGTGAGTAAGAGTGAGATATTTAATGATACTGATTTGTTTTCCTAACCTTTGCATTTCCTATGGGCTTTATAATTTTTAAAAGAAGATGTAGGGAAGAAACTATAAGGATTTTTTTTTCTTATCATTCAAGTATAGGAAGATATATCATTTTTCTGTCCCCTACAAAAAGAATGTGAGGTTACAAAAACCTAATGTCCACTTAATTTTTCTACTTCTAATACAGTTACATTTTTTTTGAGAATGAGAGATAATGAGAAAATTCAAGTTTGCTCTCCAAAGTAATACTAGAAAAATCAATAAAAATAGTCACAATACAATCTATGTGGTTCTTGTCTTCTAAACCTCTACTGGTCTGTTGTTTTTATATTGAGAGATTTTTAATGACAACAAATACATCCAGGAAGTCACATCTAGGTATCACATCACAGAAACTTGCAGATTTACAGATTCTTCAGTGGGGGAATAAAGACACACAGGCCCCCGCGCAAGGCGGTGAGAGACCCGCTGGCTCTCAACTCACAGACTGTACATGGGTGCTGCTTTAGAAGGAGAGGGCCTGCACATTTCAGCAGAGCTCAGTGAGCCTGAGGACAAGCATTAAAGAGCCATCATGTCTGAGAGAACAGGATTTCATACGGTGCCTATGATAATAATACCAGATACCAAGGTAATTCTTCAAAAGTTTCTTTTTGCTGACCATAAAAATTTTACAATAGTACCTCCATATCTATCTTTTAAAAAAATTAAAAAAATCCTCAAGGTCGCTTAAAATAGTTTAGGCTCAGAGGCTAAACGGTAGGTAGATCTCTGGAAGCAACACTCACCGTTGTGGCAATGTTCTCGGGCTCTTAAAGGCTGTGGCAGTAGATCTGTCAGGCTTGGAAGACTTGCGTTCTGCTTCATCTTCGTACAATCCTGCCAAGGCCAACTATACATAACGATAGGCTTGTTACTCAGTTAGCAATGGAAATAGACTTTCAGACGGCATTAACAATCTCCTATGAAAAAACAAGGCTGTTGTCTCAAAAGATGCTGTCTTTCCAAAACAAGCTAACTCCTGGGATCTCACAGTATTCAATTATACAAACTGTTATGATAAGTCTTTTAATTAACTATTCAACAGTTTCAAAAACTGAGTTTGGCAATGCAATGGTTTCACATTTGGACCTGTGTAACTTCAAGGTTTTAAAGAATTTTTGAGGGCAGTTCACGATATTACAAATTTCTCTAAATCAATCTTATAATATAATTTTGCTTTACCATTTCCAAGACCCAAGAACATAAAACAAGTTCAAAAGCATTGCTTAAAAGTCTGTCACACATAAATTTCATCAAGTTCAGGGAGAAGATCTAAACAAATGAGACAATGAATTAAATGTAGGTTTTAATAATTTATAAATCGATAAAGCAAATTTACATATTGCAGATATATAGCTGGATAGCTTCTAAATAAAGTAAAAATATATTTGTCCTTGATACAGAATTTAAAATACTAATCTAATTATTACAGGGTTTTTTTTGTTTGTTTGTTTTGTTTTGTTTTTATTTATTTATTTTTTCCCCCTTTCTACTTTTGCTATTTGGGGCAATAGTTAAAAATTTTCAGCTAGGCATCATGGTATCTGCCTTTAATCCCTGCTCTTGGGAGGCAGAAGCAGGAAGATGCCTGTGATTTCTGAGGCCAGCCTTGTCGACACAGTGAGTTCGAGGACTGTCAGGACTGTGTAGAGAGACCCTGTGTAGAGAGACCCTGTGTAGAGAGGCCCTGTGTAGAGAGGCCCTGTGTAGAGAGACCCTGTGTAGAGAGACCCTGTGTAGAGAGACCCTGTGTAGAGAGGCCCTGTGTAGAGAGGCCCTGTGTAGAGAGGCCCTGTGTAGAGAGGCCCTGTGTAGAGAGGCCCTGTGTAGAGAGACCCTGTGTAGAGAGACCCTGTGTAGAGAGACCCAAAAGCGTTCCCTTGCCACTCCCCACTGGCTATTCAGCCTGTATGATCATGATCTTTGGGCTCCCACCCGCTTGACAATCAAACAAGCCCTCTCCTTCACCAAGCAACTATCTCTGTGTATTCTTTCCTCAGAAGGAGAAGAAGAATAAATAACTGAGGCGAAATTAGCCAGTCAATTTCCAGGGCTGAGAACTGAACCAAGGCAAAGCCTCTTGCATGTTAGACAACCACTCTATTACCCAGCAACATCCCCTGGCCAATGAAGATTCCATAGACCTTTGAATGAACATATTTAAAACACACACTCAAGACACCTAGAAGCTATTTTTTTCTTTTCCTAATTGTTTTTTATTCCTCCTTCATCCTCTCTCTCACAGAAATTCACCAACTTGTGAATTTCTAAACTGGCAATTTCCCTAGAAATGCAAATCAATGGCACTGACCTCTTAAGAAATGAATTAAAAATTTTTTTACATAGATCATATTTTTTGAAACTAAAATATTACTCCACCATGCCCCCCTTCTTCCCTCCCATGTTTATACACCCCCCCTTTTTCTCTGTCAGCTGGGTCCAAGCCTTAGGCACTTACTGTGTACGTTTTTGTGTCTTTAAATACCTACCAGAATTCTTGCCAACATCAGTTGAAAGGTTAATGTACTAAAGCATGGCATGCCCATCTCATCGTTACAAGGTCTCATTTTTAAAATGACACTGCTTATGTGAGTGTCCTTGTTTTAACCCTCTTCCAACAGTTAAGCAGCTCCCCCTCCAAGGCTTGTCTCCAGGTCCCTGCCCTGCTTGAGTTCCTATCCCTACTTCCTTTGATGATGAACAGTGATGTGGAAGTGTAAGCCAAATAAAACCCTTTCCTCCCCAAGTTGCTCTGGTCATGGAATTTCATCATTGCAATAGTAATCCTCACTAAGACAACTAGTTAAGTGGCTTCAGGGTCACCTGTAATCAATCAATGCCCAATACCATTATAACTTCGCATTGGTTTGGTCTATTAAAGCTAGTTTACAAGTCTGTTTCAAATCTGTGGTCTTTCACAAAATTTAATACCATACAACAGCATCCACTACTACTTATGGATTTGATGTCTTATTTATCTCCAAATTGTCCAAAGCTTGAACACAAAGTTATAATAGAAAGTGGTCAGTATATCTGGTTGAAGAATGAAGATCTGCTATTAAAAAAGTATTCTGTAAATGTTTGAGAATTTAGGCTCATTTATTCTTACCTATAACTCCTAACCTACATTTAATTGTTGAATTTTATCAGTGATCTGTTGAGGAGATACAACAAAACCTAAAATGAGCAAGTAGTGTTAGCATCTGATAAAAGAGCATTTAGTGGACAAGTATTCAGCTAACGCCAATGTCACAACGTATGGAGTTTTATTTCTGGTACACTGTTTTATGGATTACCTCTTACAAGCAGGCTGTAACCACAGACCGAACTGTTTTAAGCTCTCGCCTGTAAAAACGCAAGCTTTTTAATACGGGGAGGTGGGGGGAGAAACTGCTTTTAATGTATAAGTCTTCGAATCTGAAAGCCCATCCAAGAGAACAGATCAACATGCATTATTTTTAAGTTACTTTTTAAGTGATGGCTGACTTGTCACTGGCCATGGTAACTCTCCAGAAGGCAGGCGGCATCAACCGGGGGCCACCCAGGCGGCCCCGCAAAATGACATTCCAAACAGCTAAGCTTGGTGGCCCGTGCACGGCGAAGGGGACCCAGGTGCTGGCTCTGCGGCCCGGGCACCGGATTCCACGCCCCCCACCCCGCAATGCGCCTCGGGGAGAGACCCTGGTCCATCATTCATCCTCGGGCGAGGCACGGCGCGCGCCCTCCCGCCCGCCGCCCGCGCGCTCCTGCCTCCGCACCTGCAAGTCCCGCGCACTCGGGGGCCGCGGCCTCGAGGACCCCCTCTCCTGCTCCTCCGGCTCCGCGCGGCCGCCCTCCGCCATCTTCCGCCCGCTCTCGGCGCCCGCCCACCTGCCCGCCCCGGGCTCGCGACTTCCGGGATGGTTGCTTAGCGACCGCGGGAGGGGCGGGGCTTGCCGCCTTAGGTCAGGCCGCGCCCCTCTCCTGGGCCAGGCTGCGGGCGCTCGCTGGGGGCTGGCGGTGCAGCCGACGCTCCAGCCTTTGTCTGCATCCCCGCCGCTCGCTCGTTGTCTGATGCCCTGGCGGTCCCACAGCACCGCGCAGCGTTGACTTGCGGGCTCCTTTAACGCCGCAGCTTCACCTCGCAAGTCTTGGTCGAATCTCTCAGTTTCCCTTAGCGAGGATTGGAGGGTGCATCCGTCCCTCCGCGTGGGACCGTATGGAGGAAGAGGAGGAACACAGCAATGAAAATGGAGACTCTTAAGCCATCTTATTTCCTCACACCCTCTTCCCCCATCCCCCATCCCCTACCCTCCCTGCAGGCTTGACTAGTCCCGGGCACTTACAACCCTGCAAGGACTGACAAGGTCGGGAAAAAAAGAAGTCCAGTACGAGAAGAAACTTAAAAGCTCGTGTTTAAGTGTAAAGGAAAGACATAAACAGTTAACAATAAATCTGTAAATAAGCTTTGCAAAGAGTTTATGGGAGACCTGTATGTGAGTGGAGAATATACTCTATTGGTACCTGCTGTGTGCACCGTGCTGGGTACCAGCCTACAGTGTGCTTGCTGCCTTGGCATGTTCTCGAAAAAAGCAGATTTGTACCAGCTAGAGAAGTTGAAACTGAGAAGTCTATAACAGACTTTATAGAATTTAACCCACACCCTAGCCACTTTTGCAAGATGGCCACTGGTATGAAAATACATCCACATAGGCCTTCTTCAGGTTAGTATGAAGACACTAGTCACATGGAAAAAAAAATGTTTCAATAAACTCTGTACCCTTTTCTTCTATGAATCTACTCGGTTTCAGTCTCAGGCCCAGCTGAGACTCTGAGGGTAAAGGAAGACATCCCCCTCCCCCAGTTTAATATATTCCACATGTATTGCTGAGGATGTACCGATGTATTTGAGCAAATCAAATGGTAAATTCACCTTGTAGTAACTAGCAATACAAAATACCACACCTTGCAGTGCTGTCCTGATATTCTTAATACACAGTCTGCCTTAAAAGGTCCCATTACTTACTTCTTTGACAAGAAATAACCCAGAGAGCCAATACCTTTTAATGTGGAGCCTTGAAGAAGTAATTCCCACAGACCTTGGACCAATAAGGACAAGTAAAGATGTGTTCTAAGACACAGATACTGGAAATGTCTCACTTAGCATGTCAGAAAAATAGTACATGGTTGTTTAGCAATGGGAAAACATGATTATGAGGTGGTCAGAAGAGACCTAGATTGGAGATGTAGGTGTAAGTTAGATCCTAAAGAAATGAAATGAATCAGTGAACATCCTCATCCGATATAGACAACCCCAACTTCACAACTTAAGTAAAATACATTATGCATGGAATTGTACTTATGCTGAGCATCACCGAGGTCAGGATCAGAAATGTCTTTGTTCCATCTGTTGAAAGATTTTTATCTTGTTTCTAAACTGTTCCAAAGAATGGAGTCTATTTACCCTTGGTGATTTCCATGGCTTGCAGACACCATGTATATTCCCTACAGTAGCCATCTGGATTAGATACTGTTTTTGTGATATGGAAGTAAGTAGTGAGCAGAGAAATAAGATGGATTTTTGTGCGGCTCAGTTAATAAGCCCCAGAACTAAGGTTTAAACTCAGGTGCACTATTCTCAAAATTTCATGTTTTTCTCTTGACACCACCATCCCACACCTCCCCCCATCCCTAGCTGTTCTGTAGCTCCTGGCAAAACTGCATCACATTACTCCCCAAGGACCTGTTAGTACCTTCCTTACCATTCTTTTGGCCATCCCTCAACAACATCCAGGTCCTAAACAATGATATCCCCTTAGGTTCTGCTTTGACATTTCTTATTTTCTTGCTGTATGTATGCTTTGACTGTTCAACATTATCCATTCTTACGCCTATTATGTATATGCAGCTGATTCTCATTATCCATAGTTGTGTTCTACAAGCTTGACAGGAACACTAAATTATTGAATACTGAATTATTTCTGTTGAGAGATGCAAAGTTATGCCCTTGGAGCCTCTGTTTACATTTATCAGTTAATGGATGCATAGCCTTGCTCTATGTTTGTTTCTGTGTGAAGACACCGTATTTAATATATAATATTAATATTTAATACATCCTATGGTTTCATTAACGTTGATCTCATATCCCCAGCACTGTAATTCTCTCTTGAAGGAAGCTTGCTTGCCTAACAGGGTTTCTCTTGAAGGTGCATCTGCTAAGGAACGCTAGACAGCGCTACACTATCAGGCAGCTTTACACAGGCTCCAAGGGAGAAGCACAGAATATAAAGGATGTGTCATTAAGTAGACTGCAAAAAGGGTTACTTGTTTACAGGGGAAGAGCTGGAGACGGCAGAGCCTCACCTAGCTTGGTCTCCTTTGGAAACAGGTTCATCCAGTGGCTCAAATGTTTGCTTCCCTTGGCATATCTGTGTTCTGGGGTGAACAACGACTTCTAGTTAATATGTAATTCCATATACATGGGCTTTTCAAATAATATGGGTTGACTACATCTAGATTTCCCAGCCTATTTTTCCAGTCCTTTCGATTACTCCAGACCTACATTCCTAATTGCTTTTTTCAAATTATATTTCCATTTGGATGTCTCAAAAGCATTTCTGCCTTAACCCCAACACCGTACCCTCTTCTTTTTCCTCCAAACTGTGGCTTTTTATTTCTGTTTCTTATGGTATCATCTACCTTCATGGTATCATCATCTAGCTTCTATTGGATATTAGTCATCTGGAGGTCACTGAGGCTTTTCATGGATGAGGTAAAACTTTCCAGTGCTGATAGAGGCTGGAGCAGTTAAGACGAGAACAAGGGCTCTTGATGTAGATGTTATGGCCGGCAGCATAAGTTTCAGCATTTTTCCTAGGCGAGATGTGGCTCCAAGCAAATTGTTCTAAGTGGTGGGGTTGTCAGGGGAGAGGGTACATGGTTGATAGCTTCCCAGCCAAGGTATCCAGGCACCAAGAAACAACACTGCAGGCGTCAATCAGAAGGTAGGTTTAAGATATGTGGGACTTGTTTTGAGAAGGGTGGGGTGTGGCTTGAATGGGGGACCAGAGGAGCGGAGAGATGGGATGAAAAAGACCATAAATGCAATGTTGAAGAGTGTAGAGTTTGGTTCTTATTTCTACCAAAACATTTAGAAGAATCAAAGTGTTTGATGGGTAAAAGCTAATCTCTCAGCATTTTAGCAATAATACTTGGTGTACCGACCAGAGCAGCAGAAGGCAAGACCGTAAGTCTGAGGAGTGCCAGACGCATTTGGAGGCAGCTTCTCGGTGGAGGCAGCCAGGCAGGCTTGCGATGGGATGGAGGTGGGGTGTGGATTTAGGCCTTCAGAACAATTGGACCAGGTTTATTCCTGAAATATTGTTTGTGAAGACAGTGTATGTCAATTGGCACTGTGACTATTTAAATCTTAAATTTTGATGTCTTCTTTTTATAACAATTAAAGCTGACTGCATGCTTGTCTAACCCTGACTCATGCAGCTTTGAGATAGGGCCTCACTAAGCTGCATGGCTTGGTCTTGAACTCTTAGGTTTGAGCAATCCAAGCTAGTCCTAGGATTGAATTGCAGGTGTCTATCAGCATGCCTGGTTTCTACATCACGATACTTGATTGGTGGTTTCAACATGAGTCATATTACAGCCTGTTTATGCTAGCTACTTTGAAATTTATAAAGCTTTGAGTTTACTTTTTCTTGCATTTTTGCTCTATATTGAACATTTTTTAAAAAAGGATATTATTGAGTCTCTGGATTCTGTCATCTTTCTTGGGAAAGGGCTGCTGTTTCCATTAGTTCTAAGATGTATCTGCTTGTCTTAAATGCTGTCCACTAGCTCTTCCTGGGATTGTGTGGAAAATCAAAGAGTGATAATCAAAATCCAGCTCTGCCTCCAGAGGGTGAAGATGCTGTCCCCCCCCCCCTTTGGTATCAGGAACAATAACTTTATTTTCTAACAAGTCATTTTCCTCTAGGAAGACATGAGTTTTAGAACTGGATCACTTGGCCTTTTCTCTTCTTGTCTCCTTCCAGTTCAGAATGCTTGCATCTCTTAATGGCCAGCATCCTCTTCGACCTGCAGTTGGGCTCCACACACTAAAGCTTCAGCACAATCTTCTTTGTGGTTTTGGCCTTCTTTTGGAAAATTGGCTTTGTCTGCCCACTGTAACCACTCTGCTTCCGATTGTAACGCCGCTTTCCTTGGGCATACAGGGAATCCTTGCCCTTCTTATACTGGATCACTTTGTGAGGCTGATGCTTGCCACATTTCTTACAGAAAGTCCTTCGGGTTTTAGGTACGTTAACCATCTTTGCAGTGGAGGTATCTATGCGATGACCATGTATTACAGATAAAAAACGTATCCATACCCCTTCCATTGTTGACCCTCATTAATTCTCCCCTCTGCTGCCACATACCCAAGGCTGGCCTTGAATTTCATTAGCCCAGCCCGCTCACCCTGCTGGGGAGTTTTGTTTTGTTTTTTTTTTTTTTTTTAAATTACAAGTGTGTACCACCCTGCCCGACTTGGCCAGGGTGTTAAACATCCCATTTGTTTTCAAAGAAGTATCATTTGATATTGTCTTCTCGATTCTTTGTGTCTTTTCTTTTTCTTCATACTTAGAGGCTTTATTTAAAATTCCCTGTGTTCATTATCAAAGTTACTAGATTGTTTGCAAACCAATAGACTGGATGTAAATAGGAAGGTCTCATCAAGGAGAGATTGGTTTGCTGTAATTTGATCTTTTACCAAAAATTATGGTGAGTTATTGATACAGGGTTACTCCTTTACGTTCTTAACTCGGTTTTCTTGAAAATTCAACCAGTGTTTCCAGTCTCTTGGCTAAGGCTCAACCAGGCTCACCTTAGGAATAAGCACCTCGCT